ACTTACACATATATGGCATATACTATATTATACACGAAATTGAGAATAATATAAAGTAATTATTTATTAAGTAATTTATTATATATTTTATTTTCTAAATATATTTTTACCTCCATATTACAAAATTTTAAGGACGTTACAATATATACTTCCATTTGGTGGTGGCGTAAACATACAATGTATCAATATGTAACTTGATTTTATCCACGTGCATCAATGTATATATTATCCTGTATGTTAAGTTAGGATATAAGCTATCAAGGTTATATTGTAACTTAACACATAGTATAATACACACATTGGTGTTACTACATTTAATTCAAATCCGTTCAGCTGTTTAAGTATTATTGAGTAACAAATGTACATCTTCACTAAGGCATTTATAATATTACCCCTCCAATGAAGTAGAATTTCATTTAACCTCATTATTTATAAAACCTTAAACATGTAATTGTCTTTTTATTCTTTATGTACAGACTAAAATCTAAACGTTAGCATTCTATGAAGGAAGTGTTTTACAGGTGAAACTGAATAATTTCATCAAATAAACGTGGGTCGAAAATTAACATGATCTCTTATTTAACACAACTAGGGGATGGATATTTAGAAATACTAAAATTTTGTTTTTATCTTTTATAAGAGATTATTAATTATCTTATATAAGAGATATGTTAAAAATATAAAATTAATTAAAATTAGAGATTTTTTTTGATGGGTGAAAATGGTATGGTAACCCCGCCTGCGCTAACGGGATACGCTGGCGGAGCACCAGTGAAGGGTGATAGATGAGAATGAAAACAGGCCACTTAGCCTATCATGATGAATTCACCAGGAATTAACCATGATAGTTTCCAGGGAGAACCGCGAGGGGGTCGACCTGGTTGGGTATATTGCTAGCAATAGGATTCTCAGTCTCCATTACTAACAATCCCTTTCCCCCCATATTATTATTATTATTTATTCGGAATGAAAGTTAAACCCTGCCACCAGGTAACCAATAAATAACACTATAATTTCAAAGGATCCGTTACCTTTATAGTTCGGCCGCATTATATTGTTTGCTGATTGGCCATTGTTAAGATTCTAAAAGGAACCTAAATAAATTGGTAGTTTTAACTCTAGTAACTTGGGTTGTGCGTTGATGAATAGTTAGTCGGAACATAGAAACTTTCTTTTATGTCATTTCTTTAAAAAAATAATAATTATTATTCAAGAGTATTTATAGCAAATTTCAAGTATCTATATCGGTAAAAAAAAATTTCATACAAACTTTCACCCCTATATTTACGTCCTTAGGGACCCAATTTCGAAAATCCCTCTTATTACTTATGTAAGTCATAAAAGAAACCTACTATCAAAATTTGATAATTCTAGCTTTAATATAACTATGTCTGGGAATGTATCCAAAATGTTGACCGGGGAAGTAAGGTACCACCATGCAAAATTTCATGTAAATCGGTCTAACGGCTTCAAATATTAACCCGTACAACCAGACAAAAAGAGAAAGGAAATATTTGAAAAAATCTGGACATGTTCTGTTTCACCTCTAACATAACATGACTCGGTTTTTAGCGTTTTTTTTTTCTATGTACATTCATTCAAACTCTACAGGTTTATTATATGTATAAAAGATTATTTTTACTTCCACTGTCTTAATAAAAATATGTTCTTCTCAATTTGAGCGTGCACTTGGACTAGTTAATTTTAAATTAATCATATAGTAACTTCGTTTTTGGCGGATACTACATGACATAATAACTCGGACAATACATTCCTTACTCATGTACTAATGTTGTAACTAACGTGTAATTCAGGACAACCCCTAAATATTAAAAATAAAAAATAATAATAATGAACGAAAACCAAGTCGTTTTGACAGTGACAGATAACAATTTACAATGAATATTATTATATTACTAGCTGACTCGGCAAACGTTGTTTTACCATGTTCATTACGAGAAATTTTCATGTATATTTCGAGAACTATACATGAAAATTTCTCGTACTACAATTACTATATTCGATCGCCATCTTGCAACCCTATTGCGGCATATGAAAATCGCGATTAAAAAACAGGGATTGATCGTAAAAGTGTGAAAATTTGAAGTTGTATATATTTTTTAATGTTAAATCATAATAAAATAAAAATTAAAAAATTTCGTCAAAAAAAAATTAGGGGTGGGTCACCCTTATCATTAAGGGGTATGAAAAATAGATTATGGCCGATTCTCAGACCTACCCGATATGTACACAAAATTTCATAAAAATCGGTAAAGCCGTTTCGGCGGAGTTTGGTAACAAACACCGCAACACGAGAATTTTATATATTAGAGAGATATACATTGGTAACTGTACTCATACAATTGTATCGTTATATTTGTTAATTATTTTGCTTATTTCCTATATTGTATAATGCAAATAAAGTATGTATACTCATTCATTCATACAAACAACGTCCAGACAGTAAATAATAAAAAATCTTAACAAATTGTAACTGGTATTATAGCGTAATGTTATAATCTAGTCAAAAATTACTACAAGTCATCTATTTTTGTTTTTATTGTAACTCGTGTAGATAGATAGATACTCTTTATTGTTTCCTCTAAAAGATTACAATAGTAAACTTATTCTAGATATAAACAATTACAAGAAATAATCACAATTCGCATATTTTCAGATATTTGGGCAATAGGCTGTATATTTGCTGAGTTACTCACATCTGAACCTACATTCCATTGTCGGCAAGAAGATATTAAAACGAGCAACCCTTACCATCACGATCAGTTTGACAGGATATTCAAAGTAATGAGTTTCTCACGAGAGAAACACTGGGAAGACATTAAGAAAATGCCAGAACATTCCACTATAATAAAACATTTCAAAAGATCAAAGTAAGACAAGTTATTTGTTAGGGACAGGTTTTCAAACTACAATAGAAGTTATAAAAATTCTAAAATATAGGTGTTGTGTATAAAATCTTTATGATCATATAATTTAACCAGTTGTAGTTTCCTAACCGAATTTATTTCTTTTACTAAATCATTGTAAACAATAGACATAGTAAACAATAAAGACATAGAAATCATTAAAAAGTACCTAAGCAGTGAACATGAAAGCTATATATGCGACCGAACCATAAAGTAATGGTAAACAATCCTTTGAAATAATAGTCTTATTCCATTCCTAAACTACGTGGTGGCAGAATTTAACTTTTACAGTTTAACTTTTATTTTCGTTATTCCATGTTTGTTAACACAAAAATTGATTCATACTGATATGGTATCTAGAATAAGATTAATCTGGCTTTATGTTTATTAATGAATGACAATGTTTAACATAATGTTAGAATAATACGTTAATACTATCATTATTCTTAGATCATGATAAAGGTTACAGAAATTAAGCGCAATCAAAATATACCGAGTAACTAAAATAACATGAGCATTAAAGAGCCGATGAGAATAATTCCTACCACGAGAACAACAGTGTCACGAACACATTTAAAAACATTTTTTTTATTATTACTTACATTAAACGTAATTTTACAGCGTATGACTTGTCATATATAACTGACAAACCCCAGTTTCGTACGGGTTCAAATTACTAATGAGCAACAAAATAAATTTTTAGCAACTTTTTACAAGGCCATTAAATTTATCAACTCATACAAAAATATGCATACTAACTTTCGTAAACAATATCAAAACGACGCAAACAAGATCCGATACGTGATTTGAAGAAGCGGACAGTCAAAATAACGCGGACGAAGACTCTTTTATACAATTTAGAGATGTTTACCATATTAAAAAATATCCCCCTAGTAAATTACATTAAATACATACGTCCATTCAGCAAAGTCACGGCAACATGATAATATCGATTTTTAAAAATACAAAAACACCTGCAGTGTCTAATAATGTGAACAGGTAATACCTGTTCACATTATTATATTATTCACAAAAAAAAACCGTGGTACTCCATTGATAAGATAGTCAATCTTGATGAAATTATAATGGCACCAACACAAGAAAATCCTTTGCAAAAAAAAAATATCAATTCATCATAAACTTTATAACTTCATTTTTGCATTAACGTATTATTCAAACTTCTCAAAAAATCTAATTTAGCTATTGTTTTGCTCTTTTCTTTTGCGCTAATAGTTAAAATAGATTTGTAGAATGTTTTTACTTTTAATAAAATGATAAAAAATTACCACACTCTGATTTATACCTGTGTATTTACCTAATTACCTATCTGCATCCCAAATATGAACTTTCTAGGCCCTCTAGAACTGGGTTAGTTTTGATCTATAAGTCAGTCACTAATAAAAATGACGATTTTTGGACGTTAATATCTAAATAACCGTTTGAGATATGTTTATGAAATTTAAAAAACGTATGTATCTCGCTAGCCAAATTTTACACGTTTATGTAAAATAGTTTTTGAGTTTTGAGGGGGTCAAAAATTCGATTTCCATAGAGGACCTATGCATATATATATATATCTATACTTATAATAAATCTGTAGAGAGGTCAATTCTGTATATGAAATATATTTCCAAAATAACTATTAGGAGGTGATTAGTGATCGATACTGATGCCAAAAATGCAATCAGTAAAATTTTTGTCTCTCTGTCTGTCTGTATGTTCGTTATAGAAACAAAAAGTACTCGACGGATTTTAACGAAACTTGGTACAATTATTCTTCATACTTAGGGCAGGTTATAGTATACTTTTCAACACGCGACTATCAATGAGAGCAGAGCAGTGAAGAAAAATGTTGGGAAAACGTGAGAAGTTACTCCATTTTTAAGCTTGCGTCGCGTGTGCAGCCTAAATAGCCACTTTTTAAAATGTAAAAATGTCCACCCGTGTGAAGCCGGGACGGGCCGCTAGTAATATTATATAATAGACATAAAATTTAACGCAGTCGAAATGTAAATCTTTGTAAATTAAATGAAACATGCCATTAAAAATGAATAACAAAAAACGATAAAAAAATTTTGAAAATAAAATTCTTTATTGTTCCTTTCAAAGAAAAAAAAAATAACTATTAGATACAACAGAGGAAGTGGGTTCTTAACAATGGGATCTAACACGCCGCATTGCCTACAATATATCCTGTCAGGTCGACTTCCAACGACTTTACTTATTAGTATTTATTAAACTTAATAGATTTATTTTTAATCTTAAACCCTGTTATAACCACAGTCAATATACTTGTTATCAAAGACTAGAGTTTGAATATGTATATTTAAATCTAAAATGCCAATTTGGAAGTACCTTGTAGGATTTCTTAACTAGAAAAAAACACTCAGCTCAAATCGAGAGATGCAGGTTCGAATTTTATCGAATCGAGCAGTCAGAAAATATATTCGATTTACTTACATTAAGACTCCCAAATACTAACATGACAATTACTGACATGAAATCACACATTAATTACATACAATTTGATATATATTTTTCCTAAATACTAGTTAGGAATTATAATATAAAATGCAAAATTTCCTTGTAAATTATTAGAAAATAGTTTCTTAAAAGCTCTTCTCAGTAGATAACATTCCGAAATAATAACATAATACAATACTAGTAAGACTAAAAATGCTAGAAGTACTGTTTGCATCTCTTTCATTTAAGCGTTTTATTGAAAATTTCTTTTTGTCATTGGTTTAAAGGTGCACTTTCACAAACCAAATAATCTTCGTCCAAAAATAGCTTTCAATACAAATTACAAGTTTCGAGAACCAACGACTTATATTTGAATGTGAAGGTCGATTATCTGTTGAAACCATACATTTGATTAAATAAAAGTATACACAATGATACCAGGCACTATGTGGAAATGAATACGCAAAATGTTAAGGACTACATTTTATAAATTTATATAATAAAAAAAATTATCACGTATGGTCACGGCATAGAATAGGCTCTTTTAATCATAATGATAAGAAAATGAGTCAAAAATTAACTGTTCTGATCTTGCCAGACTATATAAATTGGACTAAAACGTCCATTTTTTTCCATTAATATAATTACCGATCCTCACATTTTGCTTCTCCCAATACCTGAACTTAGTAGTAGTAAATAATAAAAATCATACTTTTATAATAATAATTTAATAATTAATATTTACAAAAAAGTTCAATTTTACAAAACACATTGCTCAACATTTAAACAAAATTAAAATAAATAGTCGAACACGATCTGTTATTTAACACAACTAGGGGATGAATTTTAAGAAATACTAAAATTTAGTTTCAGATATTTGGTAAATTAGGCATACGCCTAAATAAAAGAATAAAAATACAAATGAAATAACAAACACATTTTCGCTGTAGCTTGAAATATAAAATAACAACTTAAATATAATAACAACATAAAATAATAACTTAATCCGCGTTCCCCTAATCGCCTTATCACTGCGAGCTTAACTCTAGGCAAGCCCCTACTATGCAAGCGCCGATCAGTTATCAAGAACAGCCTACGGGATTTTGGAGTCCGATTGTTTTGACCGAAGTACTCCTTCATTGTTTGAATATGCGTGTCGATGAAGACATTGATGGTCGTCCTTATTATTATTTGAGTGTACCTGGATATAAAACGACACATAAATACATACGAAAGCACCATCTGTTCTATATATATATATATAAAGTTAAAATGTTAAAAGTTACAATAAAAGTTTGCAAACAGATATGAGCATGCTATTAAAAATAAAACAATATCAAAAATCTATCTGTACGCTGTTTGCTTTACACTGTAAACATCATTAATTTAAATTTATGATCCAAAACTTATACCATTTCAAAATTATATAACTTCTTAACTTTCGATGATGAACGATATCGAATTTTTCGCTTATTTCATTGAACGATTGATATATCCGATGAATAGGATTATTTTGTGACACATTATTATTGGTTGATGGAACGATAGAGTCCAGTCACAAGTTACAGAGTCCCAGTCACAAATATTATAAACAGGCGTGAATTTACTGGGTACAGAGGAATAACACCTGAGTCCTCAGGAATGGCAACGCATGGGAGGTATCATGAGCGAAACAGTATACTCTGTTATGGCCATGGTACTGCTCATGTCTATAGGCGACGGTTACCACTTTCCATCAGCTGGGCAGTCAGCTTATTTGCCATTTAAGTTGTAAAAAAAAAATAGATTCCGAAATACCAACAGAACGTAGAGTTAAATCTATAATAGTTTGTGATCGAGCGTTTATAAAGGTAGGTTCTAATCTTTGTTAAGTAGAGCAAGGCTATTACTAAAAATAAAATGAAGCATTTCCTCACCTCTGTTATTGGACTTGCCGTTACCCCAGAGGATATGACGCGCGTTGGAGTTGACAGCGATGACCAGATTCTCGGTTTTCGGTAATAACAGCCATTCCACTTCTCCACGATCCTGTTTAGAACAACACAGTTGTTATAATAACGGATGTACCGTGTATAGTAACGATACATCATTTAGAACTGATCTGTTATTAAAACTTCAACATCTAATATATTCGATGTTATTTACATAAACTTGATTAAATTTAATTTTTACTGTTATTTAATAAGCAAACTGAAATAATCGCATTTAGTAATGCGAGTTTGTCGTAAAAATAATCAAATCTTTTCATTTTAAACGGTAAAATTATTTTCAGTCAATAATTAATACTAAAAAAAGATTTATCCAAAAAGATGACATCATCAGTATACGCAGGTGGTGTCGACTTCAGTACGTACCTTCGTGTCACGTGAAGAGAAAAATATCCCAGCAGCAGCACAATATAATTTCAGAATCTATGTAAGCCACGCAATGACGTTTTTTAACCTCACGAGATTCTATGGTCTCGTATCTCGTTAGTTAAATCATCAAACGCGGATACGGTTGAGACCAGGAGACCTGGATTTTGTTCACTGTACCTAAAAAATAAAAGTAACATGACTATGTTAATGAATGAAGCATATAAAATTTTAGTTTTGAGTGTATTCTATTTCATGTTGTCGTGATGATGATTGAATATTTTATGACCATGATCACACGTAGTTTTCACTGCAATCCAATAAGAAGAGACTAGGTCAAATAATATAGATACAAAAAATTAACATCACATCTCTAATTTCAAGTAAATCAGCTAAAAAAATATAAACTGTCTCTTACATATTCCCACCTATTTTTACATGCTGACACTCTTATTAATATTAACACAGAGTGGAGCCAGATTAATTTTACTCTAGGTAACAAGTCAGTAGTAAACAAATTTATATGTATTAATAAACACAAAATAACGAATTAGTAAGCTAGTCCAACATATTATTATTATTCATTCGGAGTGACAGTAAAACCCTACCACCAGACACGAGTAGTTAAGCGATGGAATAACACTGTAATTTTAAATGATCCGTTATCTTTATAGTTCGGCCGCATAATTAGCTTTCATGTAATTCCGTAGGTACTCTTTATTGTTTGTTGGCTGACCATTGTTTAGGTTATAAAAGGAATCTAGTTTCTAAATTTATTATTTTTAACTTTAGTAGCTTCGGATGTGCTTTTATGAATAGTTAGTCGGAACATTTCTCTTTACTTCATTTCTTTAACATACTAGTAGTATAATTTTAAAAAGATGCTGAAATTCAATTTTATCATTATTATTTAAGAGTATTTATAGCAAATTTCAAGTATCTATCGGTTAAAAAAATCCATACAAACACATACTTAGGCACCGAATTTTGAAAATCCTGTCTTATTTCTTATCTAAGTCATAAAAGAAACCTACTGTCAAAATTTGATAATACTAGCCTTAGTATAATCACAGTTATTATTTATTTATTAGCGTTAATGAGTCATACATTAAGGATTTTTCTCTTCATAATATACAGACATGACTAATATTCTGGAACGCGCAATTTTAATTACATGAAATAAGTTTTAGATATAAGAGACGAGTAATGACAGCGTTACCTATTGGCAACGTAAGTATCACTCATTTTGTTATAATTGACAGTATTATATTATCATTATAATTATATATTAACACATAATATGTATAATTACCAAAATGGCATTAATGTGTAGTACTATGAACAATATATTAGCAACATAAGTATAATTACTCATTAGTCATGTTATAATTGACACTATTATATTATCATTATAATTATACGTTAACAAATAATGTGGATAACTCCTTATTGTAGTGAACTATGTCTGGAAATATTGGACCAATATTAATTACATGAAATTAGTTTTAGATAGAGGAGACGAGTAATGACGTCGTGAGCTATTAGCAACATAAGTATAATTACTCATTAGTCATGTTATAATTGACACTATTATATTATCATTATAATTATACGTTAACAAATAATGTGGATAACTCCTTATTGTAGTGAACTATGTCTGGAAATATTGGACCAATATTAATTACATGAAATTAGTTTTAGATAGAGGAGACGAGTAATGACGTCGTGAGCTATTAGCAACATAAGTATAATTACTCATTAGTCATGTTATAAATGACACTATTATATTATCATTATAATTATACGTTAACAAATAATGTGGATAACTCCTTATTGTAGTGAACTATGTCTGGAAATATTGGACCAATATTAATTACATGAAATTAGTTTTAGATAGAGGAGACGAGTAATGACGTCGTGAGCTATTAGCAACATAAGTATAATTACTCATTAGTCATGTTATAATTGACACTATTATATTATCATTATAATTATACGTTAACAAATAATGTGGATAACTCCTTATTGTAGTGAACTATGTCTGGAAATATTGGACCAATATTAATTACATGAAATTAGTTTTAGATAGAGGAGACGAGTAATGACGTCGTGAGCTATTAGCAACATAAGTATAATTACTCATTAGTCATGTTATAATTGACACTATTATATTATCATTATAGTTATACGTTAACAAATAATGTGGATAACTCCTTATTGTAGTGAACTATGTCTGGAAATACTGTAATTACCAATTACCTGGCTCTGGAGTACGGTCATCGCGTTTTTTCATCCAAATAAATTTATCGAGTTATTTCCAAAAATTGCATATTGCGATAACCAAGATCCACGCGGGCGAAGCCGCGGGCGAAAGCTAGTACTATATATATACGTTACTAAATATTATAAATGTCATTTATAGTACACCACTAGTAATCAGGTGCCAGAAGCGCAATCTCTGGGCGGCCGGACTTTAATGAACAAAACTAAGTTGTTTTGACAGTGACAGATAACAATTTTCAAACAATATTATTATTATTATTATACATACGTAATTTTCAATTGATATTAAACTGATATTTTAGATTGAGATAGATTACATCAATCGAGTATTGGTCGATTGTATAAAATTAAATTATACAAAATGAGAAATTAAAATATAATAATCATATAGCTTAGACAAGGTTTAATTTATTTCGTCTATTAGCCTCAAATTATTGTAATATCTTTAGATATTTTATTTAACTTTCGAACACAAACTATAACCAACATCCATACAATAAACAATAAAAAGTACCTACGCAGTAACATGTTGTGACTCGTGTAATTATTTGCATATTTTCAGACATTTGGCATATCTTCTATCTATACTTATAATCTAATAATCTGTAGAGAGGTCAATTCTGTACATGAGATATATTTCCAAAATAACTATCAGGGGGTGATTAGTGATCGATACTGATGCCAAAAATGCAATCAGTAAAATTTTTGTCTCTCTGTCTGTCTGTATGTTCGTTATAGAAACAAAAACTACTCGACGGATTTTAACGAAACTTGGTACAATTATTCTCCATACTCCTGGACAGGTTATAGTATACTTTTCAACACGCGACGATCAATAGGAGCAGAGCAGTGAAGGAAAATGTTGGGAAAACAAGAGAAGTTACTCCATTTTTAAGCTTCCGTCGCGTGTGCAGCCTTAATGGCCTCTTTTTAAAATGTAAAAATGTCCACCCGTGTGAAGCCGGGATGGGCCGCTAGTGCCTAAATAAATGAATAAAAATACAAATGGAATAACAAACACATTTTCGCTGTAGCTTAAAATATAAAATAACAATAAGTACTTACCGTAATCCGCGTTCTTCTAAACGCCTTATTATTGCGGGCTTAATTTTAGGCAAGCCTCGACTATGCAAGCCCCGACCAGTAATAAAAAAAAGCCGACGGGACTTTGAGGCCCGAATATCTCGACCAAGGTCTTCCTTCATGTTTTGAATATGCGTGTCGATGAATAAATCAAGGGCCTCTTTGGCTTCATCGACACGCAAGTAGTGGAAGTCGATGGTCGAGTCATCGTTGTTACTGGAGTGGACCTGCATACAAAACGATACAAAAAGTTACAATAAAAGTTTGTAAACAGAAATAAACGTGCCATTGAAAAATCTATCTGTACGCAGTTTCCTTTACACTGTAAACATTATTAATTTACATTTATGATTCAAAATTATAACATTTCAAAATTATATAATAACTTCTTAAAACTAATGGTACTTTGACAAACGATATCGAATTTTTCCCTTATTTCATTGAACGATTGATATATCCGATGAATAGGATTATTTTGTGACACATTATCATTGGTTGATGGAACACTAAATAGTTGGTCGAGTGTGTCTAATAGAGTGTTTCCGTACAATCGAGTACAAAGACGCTGTTATATTTTTATTTAAATTAAATTTATGTAGGTACTCATTAAATTTTAATTAAATAAGGTATCCTTTACGAAGTTATTGTTATGTGATAGCAATTTAAAAGCTAATAGCAATATTTACAAAAATGTGATTAAGTTAATTTTGTTTTAATTAACCTTCTTACTTACTTGCATAATCAAGGCGGCAGCTATACTATTGTACTGCTCATATTGGGATTTGTGGAATGCACTGTCATCCGAGTAGTATTTGGCCACTTCTGTCATCCCGCGACGCGTAAATTCCTCGGCCTTCTGATAACTCCTGCAAACGTAATTTCATTGAAAATTATAAACATATATACAATCGCGGCTGTAACCCCTGGTAGGGTAGACAGGCTCGTTTGTTGGTATTATTGTACACAAGTTTCAAAATATGAACGATTCTTCTCTTATAATCCTTTGGTATTTTGTATAAGTTAACACTTTACCATTGTTTTTATTTACACTACCCATATGCTCCGAACTTGCTTGCGTGAAATAAGCTAAAAATATCTTATGTGTTTATCTAAGAGAATTATGTCCTCTCTGAATATTAAACTTCTTTCAACACTATTCAGCCCTTAAAGCGTGATCTATATTTTTTTTATTAAACACCAAGAAGAATAAACAACTAGAAAAATATATATATATTAAAAATGGGTACTGTATCTTTATCTAATATATGATAAAATATAAACAACCAGAAAGATGGTTTAAAACAATTAAATGTGCATCGACACTTTATAAAAACTTTCTCTTCTGCGATTATAAACATTTTAGTAGTAATCCAAAGAATTTTTCTAAAATAACATTTTATTACGTGAACAAAAAGATATTACTTACAAATTACTGCGCGAGAAATGTTTTGCAGCCTCTTCACGATAATTCTTAGCAATGGCCATATCCACCTTCTCAGCCTTAAGTAGTAATGGCCATTGCACTTCTTCGCGATCCTGTTTAGAACAACACAGTTGTTATAATAACGGATGTACCGTGTATAGTAACGATACATCATTTAGAACTGATCTGTTATTAAAACTTCAACATCTAATATATTCGATGTTATTTACATAAACTTGATTAAATTTAATTTTTACTGTTATTTAATAAGCAAACGGAAATAATCGCAAAAATAAGACATTGATGTTTAGTTCATAATATAGTAAGTACACGTTGTACTGTAATATATGAACAACGGGATAGATCCCAGACTAGTCGAACATTTTAAACTAAATTACATTTAAATCAAAACGCTTGTTCTTACATTAAAATATCATTTACATTTTGTTTTTTATTTTTTCTGCTTCGGCTTTTTAGGGTAGCCATTAGTAGTGAGGAGTATTTATCATAACAAATATAAATCAAAAGTATTCAAAGATAACAGGTAACATTTGTTCTTGCGATGAATATTAAGAATATGATACAATTGCGAATTATTGTAGAGATGGCAGGATAGAAAAATATGATTTAAATTTCCAATGGCAGTTCCACACTCACATTTGGCACTATCTACAGTATTAAATCGTGCAAAGGCTGCTGGAGAACAAGTATGACCTATTCTCATCCTAGTTAATAAACTAGTGTACCTCTTGCCCAAATTAATTTAAAAAAAAACCATGGTATTGACAGGTATATCACTTTAAATGTCGCGATAGAACTTAGCTTTCGATCTACTATTTTATACCCAAATCTCTTTCCAGATCTTCAGGAGAAAGCGATAGGTAGTCTTTTTGAACACTTTCATGTAACAACAGTTTTATATCATAAATTAAAGGATCAATATTTTTTGTTTTTGAAGGGAAATTTCTTGAAAGCTTACAATGAACTCAATGAATCTTTAAAAAATAGCGTACGCTTCAACTTCGTCAGATGAACATATTCTACTGCTTTATATAAACCTTGTTAAAATAAGTAATCTATGCTTTATAGAATATTTAATCTGTATTCAACACTGGCCTTTCCTAACTGTGCCGACCACTCACTTTCTCTCTCATTCTCTCTTCTGCAAACTACGGTGGCTTCCGTTCGTACTTTTATTGCTACTATTAATAAATTATTAATTTGTATCCATAAAAACATAATAAAAAAAGCTGTGTCTGGACTGGACTTCTGGGCTCCTCCTACTGTCGACCTCAACAGGTTATGAGCTATAATATTGTGTGTAATATATAATTTTCACATGCAATTCTTATAATACATTATTGTTAACATATATAAAAACATTAGCAATGATTATTGTGATTTCAGTTCTTTATTTTTTGTATCAATATGTAATCGTAATATCCAAGAGTATGTTTTGTTTGTAACGCGATGTAAATATATGAATCCAAGAGTATTTTTTGATTGTCCGTACGTCTGTTTGTAAAGAATTATTGTACATTCACATTTGACACTGATATCTAGTTATAAAGTAAATCACATCGTACACAGGCGGGCGTATCCCATAAAAAAATGTTTGCCAGGCCAGAATTTGAAAAGAGTAAGTAGTTGTAACAATTTATATACATACTCGTTTATAGCGTATAAATAATAAACTATAATTTTGTACAACAATACATCTGCAGTAATTCTAAACTAATATTGATAATTATTATTTAATTCAATAGGACTTACAAATAATATTGGTGCCATATTAATACCGCAAAGCGTACACACACACAAACTCAAAATTCCACTTTAGTCCGTAAACGTTCGTCACTAAATGCGAGGAGTTTGTTGTAACTTAGCATGGCTCATGACAATTATGAAAAGTGTTATTGGTGGGGATAGTAGGGATGGGACAATATACATCCGTGTATAGTAACGATGCATCGTTTAGAACTGATCTGTTATTAAAACTTCAACATCTAATATATTCGATGTTATTTACATAAACTTGATTAAATTTAATTTTTACTGTTATTTAATAAGCAAACTGAAATAATCGCAAAAATAAGACATTGATGTTTAGTTCATAATATAGTAAGTACACGTTGTACTGTAATATATGAACAACGGGATAGATCCCAGACTAGTCGAACATTTTAAACTAAATTACATTTAAATCAAAACGCTTGTTCTTACATTAAAATATCATTTACATTTTGTTTTTTATTTTTTCTGCTTCGGCTTTTTAGGGTAGCCATTAGTAGTGAGGAGTATTTATCATAACAAATATAAATCAAAAGTATTCAAAGATAACAGGTAACATTTATTCTTGCGATGAATATTAAGAATATTATACAATTGCGAATTATTGTAGAGAGGGCAGGATAGAATAATATGATTTAAATTTCCAATGGCAGTTCCACACTCACATATGGCACTATCTACAATATTAAATAGTGCAAAGGCTATTGGAGAACTTGGTACTTGTATTGCTACCATTAATAAATTATTAATTTGTATCCATAAAAACATAATAAAAAAAAAACTGTGCCTCTTATTACTGGACTTCTTGGCTCCTCCTACTGTCGACTTCTACAGATTATAAGCCATAATACTGTGTGTAATATATAATTTTCAAATGCCACGTAATGGCGCTGCCATCTCTAACCTTTCCGCAACTACGAATCGAAATTTTCAACATTGGGCTTTTTCGTGTAAAACGAATGTTAGATGAAAAACAATTATTATTTGTTATAAACAATTAAATAGCAGATGAACGTACAGAAAATTTTGAAAAGGCCAATGCCAAAGCAAAAAATGTTATTGTGCAATGTCTTCCCGATAAGTATTTAAAAGTAATCCAACAATACGATACAGCGAAGAGAATGCTAGAAGTTTTAAAAGATATGTTTCAACAAAAAAAAAATTAAATAGTGATTAAATCACTATTATACACTTTTGCCGTAAACTACTAACTTTAAAACAAAATGCTAACGAGAAACTTGACCGTAAAAAATATCAATGTCTATTCTAAGTGTCCATCCCTAGAGGATAGCGTAAGGTGGGGGTGGCCGGGTTGCCAGATATTTGTCACTCAAAATTGCCAAATTTAGCAATTAAACCAGCCCAAGACGCCCAAATCTAACGCTCTGTAAGCGCCAAAAGGCTATTTGCCCACTTAAGTGCCACTAAGTTGCCCACTTTGGCACAAAATAGCCTTTTGATGTCTAAAATCGTCACTAATAACTTTAATGACAAAATTAACTAAATAACATCTTTCATTGGTTAAACTTGATCAAATTTAATTTTTACTGTTATTTAATAAGCAAATTGAAGTATATAATCACCAAAAATAAAACTTTGACGTTTAGTTAATAATATAGTAAGTACGTACACATTAACCAGTCTCATTATAAATAAGTAATTAGGTTAAATTTAATAATCTTAATTTATGTAAAGGGAACACGTAACGCCATCTATTATCGTTTTGGGAATAACTCAGCGCACACCATACTATATTTCCTCTCTAATTTCATCTGTTACTTGCGCTGCACGGCTCAAATATGTATTTATAATAAAATATAAGATAAAGTAAAAGTTATTGTCTATTCCTCGATCCAACCATCTCAACAAAAATTTTTCTTTTTTCCAATATTTTTAATTATTTTGAACTAGCTTTCACCCGCGGCTTTGCCCGCGTGGATCTTGATTATCGCAATATGCAATTTTTGGAAATAACTCGATAGATTTATTTGAATAAGGATTAATACTGGAGTATGAAAATACCACACAGACGGCGACCAGCGTAGTTATTCGTAATTTTAGAAAGAAAAGTGATTATTGTGACCTAACCGCAATAGTTAGATATATGCTATGGTGGACTTATTTGTAGATCTCAATGAGTACTTTAAAAACGTAGAATTGGTGAAAGAATTTTTGAAATCGGTCCAGTAGTTTCGAAGCCTATTCGTTACAAACAAAAAACAAATGTTTCCTCTTTATAATATTAGTGTAGATTATAGCGACCCGCCCCGGCTTCGCACGGGTGCAATGCTAAGCGCAAAAAATGGGTTAATTTACGACATCACATTAGAAACCTCTAAAATTATCAGTGTTTCTCTGCTATATTATGCATAGTGGACCCGCCCTCGCTTCGCTTCGGGTACCATTTTTACCCCCCTAGGAGTTACTTTTCAAAACACCTATGTCCTAAACGTTAAAACTTACCTTCCTATACCATACTGGTGCGGTGAGAATTTTTAAGTTTTATTTAACACGCCTCGCGCGCTAGACCTCTAAAATTATCAGTGTTTCTCTACCTCCCCTCCTGCACGCGCACCCTGCCTTGGTGACGCTCATTTCGCAACGGGCCGTGCAGCAGAAATCGTAATATTTTAATTTCGCTATAACTTCAAAACAAAACGTCCAATTTTAATCATTCAAAGACCAAATATTATCAACATAAACTGTACTTATTGATGAAATAATTTATTTTGATAAGGATTAATAGCATGAGTAAAATAAACGCGTTTAAATGTAGTCCAAAAAAAATTCAAGATTTTTAAATAAAAAAATGGTTGCTGTGCCTCACTCGACATAGATAGGTATAGTGTGTCGCGGACTTTTCTGTAGATATTTATACGATCTACAATTAATTAGAACATTTTATGGTTCTATCTTTTATAGTTTAGGCAGCATACGCAAAATAAGTAACTTTTCTGGTTGATTTTTTACACCTTGTGTCCGATAAACCCAAATATTTTACGGAACCCTATTTTTTTCCAAAATAAAATTTAGCCTATTTTACTCGTGGATAATGTATCTTTCTAATGGTAAAAGAATTTTTAGAAACGGTCCAGTAGTTTTTGAGCCTATTCATTACAACCAAACAAACAAAGTTTTCCTCTTTATAATATTAGTGTAGATTATCATTGTATTTAATGCATTTTACACGTAAGATTCCTAAGTTCATAAGATATAGTTCTTCAAATATTTCATCTACTTCGTCATATTTCCCCTTAACTACTGTTAAACCACTAGTAGGTCTACTTAATGTGCTTGGAGAAATATCATCTTTGGGCTTGAGCTATGGATTCTGCACCGAGCTCAATTTAATTTTAACCTCAATCTCTTGAGTTCAAAACTATATTTTGCACGGAACCAACTCCCGTTTGACGAAAATTATCTTGTCGTGTAGAAATATTCAATCTAATTTAATTGGACGGAAGAAGCGCAGTATAGTTTCTTTTAACTTTCTTTTTAAAAGCACCACTTTTTTTACGTTAGCCCAGCTTTATTTATCCATTTTAACGTAATATTTTACAAGGTTAGAAAATATGGCTGAATCATAATATTTATATACTATACACTTTTCCTTTCATCTGTGTCATGCAAAATGGTGGAAAATCTATATCTGTGGCGTCCCGTGAGCGGACTTTACACAGACTAGGTATGTTTAGCGTATAGGTTTAAAAAAACAGATTTTTCCGAAATCTAATTGGAATTATACAAAATTCAGATTAGATTTATATTCCAACTAGTCTCCTTATGTAATTTTCTTACACTACACTCGACTTAAATTGCATTGCAACTGTTCTATGAGAAATAAAATGGGGACACCTATAAATTAGCTTTTATTTTTCAATTATTAAAAAACTAAGACCTTGCTGAATGTAAAATTATATATTTTTTGTACAATATTATATACTTGATAAAATAAAAATAAAATGGCTTATGTTCCAATACATAGGTTGACTATAAAAGATCTCTTTATGGGATAAGTCCGCCATTGTATATTAAATCATTTATCAGTGTTCAATGTGAATTATGTACAATAAAGATTTTACAATACAATAATTTTTTTTTATACAGCACTTGTTTATAAACATGGAGCAAAAAAGTCCCTCTTCAATTGACACTTAAGTGGGTCTCCTATTTTATTATTTTACGTACATTCTTGGCGTCAGGAACAAGAGGTGGTTTGTTTACAATAATTTAAGCTTATCGCCAAGCTAGTTTAGACAAAACAGTATTTATGACATTATTATCTATATGTCCGCTGAGCGAACGAGACACAGATGCGCATTTTTTGTCGACACAGTTGAGAGATTATGGGACATTCAGTCATTAAAAAGTTGGATAATAATAAAAAAATTTACTATAAATCGTGTAAGAGTGCAATTTATCACTTTTTCACGATTGTCACGTAAAAGTAGTTCATGTCACTCTAACACAATTGATGACGGTGTAAAAGCCGTAAAAACGTTCCTAGGACGACATCGCCGTTATACTATTGAAATTGGTGTAATAGTCATATAATGCAGTCATATAGAAGTGCAAACGACGTTTTTATACAAGTACGAGTTGTATAAACATAAGGGGATCAAAGTCGTATTATATGTAAAAATTACTTCAATATGATGTTTATAGAATTTTGCGTCGAAAAGGTAGTCGAATAATTAATATCATCTATAAAATACAGGCACAATAAGATCAACCGTCGGAGATGTGGCGAGTGTAAAGCGAACGAAAAGCGAAAGCGAACCCATGTCTCCGACATATGGCACCTCGAGGGTATGTCGTCTGGTTTTTGGTGGGTACACCCCGCCTTACGGGAGGATTTTCACAGTACCCATTCACCTCCCACAAGGTGTATGGGTCTGAATAAAGCATTTTCCAGACGTAAATAAAAAAAAGGTACAATAAGATCAGGCGGGGACAGAAAACAGCATGTTCGGAGAGGTGTAATCAAGACAGTTATGATGTGGTTTAAGCTGACCTAATTGAGTTTCGTTATTATAATACTAGTGAACAGAAAAAGTATTTAAATATTATCGGCATTAGTATATCAGTGTTAAACGACTTCTCCAATCTTAAGTGATTTCAGATGATTACATACCGAAGAGGTAAGTTCAGACAAATTGATATACCTAATTAACAGTTATATTAAACACATGATATCACAGTTAACAATGATTATCTTCATTGTTGTAGCCTAAGGAAATGCCCTTGATTGAATCCTGAAGTTAGACATTAAATATCCCTGAGGATAGCCATGGTTTGGTTTTAGCAGAGTTCCATAAGCAACATAAGAACTCTCCTGGAGCCCAAAATTAGTTTTATTCCAATATAGATTTAGTTGTGGTTTAATTTAAGTTACCAGGCAGTTCACGTATTATATCTATTAAAATTTGTAAATATTCCTTTTTTTTGCAAGATAATTCGCAATATGGAGTTTGATTAGAAAAGTCAATTACATAATCGTTATCATTTACAACTGCATTACTTTTAATTTATAAGATTATGAAGTAAATGTTATGTTAACCGTTATGTATATTTGCTTACATTCTCGACAAGGTGCCTTGTGGCATTCACTCAATAGGTGACCAATATTAGCAGCATTTAAAACTTCAATCTTACTTTAAATTATCGAATTTGGCAGACAATCCTTCGAATTTAGTTATTTTGATATTTAACTCGGCCAATTCAATATTAAACAGTTGTTCTTATCCCCTTAATATAATCAAATAATTTTTAAAGATCGTTATTTGTCCTTTTATAGAACATCGTTTGGTAAACAATTCCTTTAAATTAGCACGCAATGTACTAAAGGAAGTTTAGGAAGAAGGCAAGACAGCTGTCTCTTTGTGTCATTTTGCAAAACAAATATTAATTAGGTGTATAATGATTTATGTATAAGTGTATGAATTTATAACTATTTTAGTTATTGTAATGTGAACAATGTAAGGGAATAAAATTCTCACCCTCCTCGCCCTGGCGGTGTGACTGCCAATCGAAGCCGGCAACGCTCACGTAGCTGATCGACATCACACTGTTGCTCAATCCGCATCTCAGCAATGCGCGCAGCATTATTACTGGAATTAGTCGGAGAACAAACGTTAAAATAATGAAGCTATGGTTATCGAAAAACTTAAATATATTAAAAGTACAAACATATATTATTTAAGTAAATATTCTTTTATTATATATTTTTTTTTAAGTAGTTAGTATTGAAATATTAATAACAAGGCAGGTAATAGTACATTACTGCAGCGACCAGCAACTGAGACATTGATGGACGAACGTGCAAATATGGGCCGAGGCGTAGTCGAAGCACACATACGTGAATCCGTCAATGCGTGTGTTGTGGCCAAGGCTTGTATAGTACTTTTCTCAAACAATGCGCGGAAATCAAAAACACAATTTTACTTTTTAAGTTCAATGACGAATAACGAACAATAATAATTTTTCACAGCCATAATGTTCCTTTGTTTTTTTTTTTTCAATAAACAGCTTTCTATTTGCAAGCCAATTCGAAATGTATATAAAACTTTTTATTAGTTACCTCCTTGGTAGCCATGATTCGAAGTAAAAGGTCATTCCATTTTTAAATTACAGGACAGATATGAGTCTACATAGTAATTTATCTGGCCGCAAAACACGACAGATGTGGATTTTCATACAACTTTTGCCGGCCGCTGCCTGCATGTATCTGGCCAGTACGGCAATTTTGATTTATCTCTAAGAAGATTGTCAAAATAATGCTCACATTTCCAAGCATGTTTGAGAAAAAGTATTTACTTACTTATTTGTGTATGTTTATTACATTTGTACAATGTTATTTCAATGCACTGTTTATCCCTTTTTGGGTACAAGATCGTGAGGACAATTTTGTTTTACTTATTTTATGTATTTTTTGTTACATGAATAGCTATGAATCTCAGCGCCTTATCAGATTCGCGGCTAAACGGCTGTATAATAAATAAAGATTTATCTCAAATCTTTATTTAATATACAGCCACTTTATTATTATGATTAATTAATAATATTTTATTATTAAAAAGTAAAAAAAAGTAAAGAAAAAATGTTTTTATTACCAAAATATGTTTTTATAAGCACAAAGTTTAACATTGATTCCTACATTAGCCTGTTCTGGAGGAACCGGGAATCGTGTTGACAAATACATGCTTACAGAAATTACTTTCTAGAGGTACCAGATTTTTTTTATACAACAGAAATTGGAAGATATCTTATCCAGTGAATGGTGGCATTCAATTATTAATTTGTTGTTTGTCTTGTTATTTCGTAATGCTTTTAGTACTGCTGCGCTGTCAGATAAGACTCTAATGCCAATACCATTTATTCCTAGCTTATGTACAGCTGCAGCAGCCTCGGTTATTGCAACATATTCGCATTGGAATATTGAACTGTGTACGCCAAGCAGTATGTGCATGTTTATATTAAGGTCTAAGAAAAAGACTCCGTCTCCTGAACCGTTCTCAGTTTTGGAGCCATCGATGTATATAACACACACACAACGGTGTATATGAACATGTTGTGTGTGATTAGTAACAAACAAATAAACGATATATCCATCTATCTATCTATCTATATGCGTAATTCATGCACACCAGATTGGTCCTTTTCCTCTTCTTTTATTTGTACTTGGTTTTTTTTTTTTAATAAATATATAACGATTATGAGTCCTATCATACGGAGCCGCAATCAATGGTTCATATGCGATTGCCTGGTTCAGAATAAAAGTGTGGGGACTGTTGTGATTTTTATCCCATAGATCCAGATGCATTAGTCAGATAGCAGCTAAGGCCGCTTCCTGCTGTATATGCAGGTTTGGAGTGTTATGTTGAGAGCCAGCTCTATTGCTGTTGTAGGAGCTGTTTTCATGCAGCCGCTGACAGAAGAACAAACCAGTCTATGAAAGCTTTTTAGTTTGGCGGCAGTGGTCGATAGTTTTGTCCTCGGCCACCAAACCACCATAGACCAACATTGGCCTGATTACAGCTCTGTACAGCCATAGTTATTTTTGAAAAAAAACATTATATGATTAACATGAGTATATTTTCAACATCGTCGTAGTTCATAGTTCTTAGATGTTCGCTTACCTTTACTATGGTTTCTTTTAGCGTTTAGGTTTGTTTTTCAGATTACAAATTCTGCAAATTTTATTGTATATAAATGTGGGTGTGAGATAGAATAGGTAAGTAAGGTAAGTGAGTATGACGCGTAGAAGCGAGATAGTATGAGAGATGTGAATAGTTACGACCTAGAATGAGTATGAGAGAAAGAAAGAGAGAGAGGGACGTGTGTGGAAGGGAGATAGAAAAAGGAAGATGGAGGAAGAGTACTACGACGACGGCGCATGTGTAAGAAATTTTTATAAAAAAAAATTTAAGAAGTGCTTGGATTATTGTTTTTATTATTCCACCGCGCCACATAAATGGGATCATACACGGAGAGAAGCCTCTGACATAGATGCTTTTTTAAGGCTTCGGGATTATTATTAATTGACTTTTGGATTCAGTTGCGACCGGTAATTATAATTTTCGCTCAAGACCTATGCGTCACACACTTGTGTATCCTGATGTCTGGAAAGAAGAGCAAGCTAGATGCTTTAGTTTTATAAAAGCATATGTATTTCGTTTGAAGTATTTATTGTCAGTAAGTTTTTATTTAACCATGTTGTTGTTGAGTTTAATTGTTTTCTGTCTCCAGCCTCCAAAATTATTATTTTATTAATAGAGCAACATTAGGCATAGAGAATAAAAAGTAGTTACAGTGGAGTATGCCAGAGGGCGCTGGAATTGTGTCTTTGGTGTATTAAAAATGTAACGTTAAATGGCTGAGGAAATTGTTCTGAATTATAAAGAAATAAATAGAAGTAGATTCAAATACGTTGTTTTCATTACTTGGCGCAAGTGCTCATGCTTCATTACAATAAATAATAATATAAATATCAATAGTTGTCAGTAAAACCATACTTCTCTCAACGTTCTGATAACACTCGTTCCAAGTATTACCATGGAATATAATAGCGGTGTTATCAACATAACAAGTAAATTATGCATTGATGTATTATGTAACAAAAAAAGAGCGTTGGACCCAAAACACTACCCTGAGGTATTCCAAAGCAAGTATTCTCTACGTCACTTGTATAGTCAAGCACTTTAATGCATTGCTTTCTATTTGTTAGGTACGAATTAAACAACGCATGTGGTTTGCCTCTAATCCCTAAGCATTCCAGTTTTCACAAAAGTATGGGAATGAACACGGTGTCTCAAGTATGTGTCAAAATACGCATCGACACATACTTGAGATAATAACAGAAATTATTGTTAAGAAAGCTCACAGCATTTTCAGTGGATTTACCTCGACAGAAGTCAAACTGTGCACTAGAGTGTTCCATTCATCTCAAGGTATTTGACGAATCTTCTGCTTACGATTTTTTCCAGAAGTTTAGAAAAGGTAACTAGAAGAAATATAGGACGGTAGTTGTTATTATTAAATCTTTATCTCCGTCCGTATGTGAGTAACAGTGGCAATTTTCCATCGATTTGGAATTTCACCAGAGGCAAGGCTCAAATTGAAAATTGCAGAAAGAGGATCGTCTACATATATATTGATGAACTGCTCTTATTAAAGTATTTGCGACTCCATCTATATAAGGCGCACTTTTTTCTTTCAAAAGTCAAATGAAAGAGGAAACTTCAAATGGATCAGTTGGATGGAAATAAAAGATAGAATTAGAAGAATAACTACGCCATCCGCTTTGTTTATATGTTTTGTGGTCTTGAAAGCCGTGTACCCATCAATTTTCTCCATATTTGAATTTTCACTTAATCAACACTCGGTAAAAACTATAGCATCAAATACAGTATCCAACCATGCGAGAAGCACTAATAAATTGTCAATAAAATTTTTCGTGTAAACTCCTTATATTAAGTATCAGGAGTTTGGTATTATATTTTAAAAGTATCTTTTTTGCTATTGCATGGATATTTTACAGTATGACTTTCATTTTCAATGGTTTCATCAACTTCTTGTATGATATTATACGAGGTTTTAAAAAATGTAGTGTATAATAAAGGAAGTCTGAAACCTGAAGCCATACTTATAACAGAAATGTGATGTTATTATTTTATATGTGTTATTATGTATATCCCATACAGGTGCAATAAACTATCGCCAAAATAAATGTAATGTGAATGTGTGTAAGATTTTTAAAGGAGTATTTATGTACGAGCCGCGACGTGATATTCATGAGTGTTTAGTGATAAGTATATAATAAACAAACAAGCTGCAGTTACAAATATTATAAAAAATAGAAAAAGCAAACATATACAACAAACATTTTAGCGGTAGCAAAGTATTTTCGAAAACTTTAAATAGTTTTATATTCAAAAACATAAAGCCGATTGGACATAAACAAGATGATAAGTATACGCGATAAGTGTAGCGAACGAGTACAAACGCGTTATAGGGTTTAGCTGTAAATTCCTCGGCAGTAACGGTAGAGGCTTCTCTTACCCTCAGCTTAATTGGGCACTGGCAAAGCAAGTCATTGTATGTAACAATATGGATAGCAGAATTACCTGTACATTTGCGAATATTGAGCCATTCCTTGTCCAACAGTATTTGAAGAACACGTATTCTAGCATCGCGAAATTATTGTCGATTGATTCGAGTAAGGCGCTCATTTATGAAGATTTTTCGCTTAGGACTATTCAACATTATGTCCTTACTATTCAATGAACGACGTGATTTGGCGACCTTCAAAAAGTTTTGTCGTATCGCGAGTAAAACACACTACAAGTGGTCATGGCATATCAATTTCCTTCCCATCTCTGTCAGCACGGCGAGTAACGCTGTCTGTATCAGCCTACGTCAACGGTACTCCAATTTTTGATGCAGTGACAAGAGTCCATTGATAAGGATTTTCATTGTTCACTTCTTGTAGTCCTATAATTTCGACTTCGTTTCTAAGAGACGATAGCGCTTGAGTGTCTGATTGCTGTTGGAGCTGCTCAAACGTTTGTTTTAATTGCTCGCATTTCTTTTGACTATCTTCAAGAGACCG